GGGGGTGCGTGGTGTTTGCTATGTTGTTGGTGGGGTGTTCTGCATGTTTCTGAGGGAGTTGTTTGTTCCTAGGGTGTTGCTGGTTGCTAAGCAGTTGCTAGGGTGTTGCTGGGGGGTTCCTACAGGGTTGCTGGTTACTAGGGGGTTGTTATGCAGTTGCTAGGGTGTTGCTGGGGGGTTCCTACAGGGTTGCTGGTTACTAGGGGGTTGTTATGCAGTTGCTAGGGTGTTCTTGGTGGTTCCTATGTTGCTTGGTGGTTGCTATGCAGTTGGTAGGGTGTTCTGGGTGGTTCCTAGGGTGTTGCTGGTTGCTAGGTGTTTGCTATGTTGTTGCTGGGGTGTTCTGCATGGTTCTGAGGGAGTTGTTTGTTCCTAGGGTGTTGCTGGTTGCTATGCAGTTGCTAGGGTGTTGCTGGGGGGTTCCTACAGTGTTGCTGGTTACTAGGTGGTTGTTATGCAGTTGCTAGGGTGTTCTTGGTGGTTCCTATGTTGCTTGGTGGTTGCTATGCAGTTGGTAGGGTGTTCTGGGTGGTTCCTAGGGTGTTGCTGGTTGCTAGGTGTTTGCTGTGGTGTTGCTGGGGTGTTCTGTGCATGGTTCTGAGGGAGTTGTTTGTTCCTAGGGTGTTGCTGGTTGCTATGCAGTTGCTAGGGTGTTGCTGGGTGGTTCCTACAGTGTTGCTGGTTACTAGGTGGTTGTTATGCAGTTGCTAGGGTGTTGCTGACGTGTTCTTGGTGTTTCCTAGGTTGCTTGGTGGTTGCTATGCTGTTGCTGGGTGGTTCATACAGTGCTGCTGGCTGTTATGGTTGTTGGTTGTTATGCAGTTGCTAGGGTGGTGCTGGGGTGTTTTGGGTGGTTGCTAGGTTGCTTGGCGGTTGCTATGCAGTTGGTAGGGTGTTCTGGGTGGTTCCTAGGGTGTTGCTGGTTGCTAGGTGTTTGCCATGTTGTTGCTAGCGTGTTGCTGGGGTGTTCTGCATGGTTCCAAGGGAGTTGTTTGTTCCTAGGTTGTTGTTGGTTGCTATGCAGTTGCTAGGGTGTTGCTGGGGTGTGCTGGCTGGTTGCTAGGGCTCAAAAGTATCCAGTGTGGATATTAAAGGAGCGTTCTGGACTGAATATGAGTTAAGCTCTGTGAGCAGCATCTGTGTCATGATGTTGATTACCACAGAAAATAATTCCAGCTTTTGAAAACGAGCAAAAATCACATTTACAGTAACAGTTACATATCCAAACATATCCAAACTCTCAGTCACGACCGTGTAAAGCTGCTAAACCCAAAGTTGAGTTTTCTGTGGAAACGGACAGTAAATGCTGATGGTTGAGCTTAACTATTGAACCCAAATTATCGAGCTAAAATTATATTTATATGACGTTATATGTGACCCTGGAGCACAAAAGCAGTGTTAAGTCGCTGGGGTCAAAATTATCGATTTTTCTTTTATGCCACAAATCATTAGGATATTAAGTAAAGATCATGTTCCATGAAGATATTTTGTAAATGTCCTACCGTAAATATATCAAAACTTAATTATTGATTAGTAATATGCATTGCTAAGAACTTCATTTGGACAACTTTAAAGATGATTTTCTCAATATTTAGATTTTTTTGCACCCTCAGATTCCAGATTTTCAAATATTGTCCTATCCTAACAAACCATACATCAATGCAAAGCTTATTTATGCAGCTTTCAGATGATATATAAATCCCAATTTAAAAAAAATTACCATTATGACTGGTTTTGTGCTCCAGGGTCACGTATGATCTTTGGTGCGAGATGTTTCTATCATAATGCGAGTCAGCATTGCAGAAACCCTCTCTAGAGTGTAAAATAAATGTTTTCTGATCATTCGTTTCTTCTGTTTATAGCTGCATACGGGTTTTGTGGTCTGTGTGTTTTGTTATTATAATTTTTGAGGTTTCATGTTTTAAAACACGAGGGTTTTCTGAGAAATAGGAGCCGCGGCACAGTGTTTTACCGCGGTAGATGTGTTGCAGGCAGGTTTAGGGTTGTGGTAAATCAGCGTCTGTTTAAGCCTCGACTCGATGCTCACACACTCCAGAAAGCTTTTTAAGTCTTAACCTGAATACTGTGTTTGGATGTGAGGAATGTTTGTGTCTGGATCATATATTTCAATGTTTCCGCCACACTGCACACATTTATACAGCGAGCTGGATTCATCAAAACAACTTGAGCCCGTAAAGTGCATTTTTGCTTTTAGACTGAGTCATAAATACACATATGCACACTTCATACAATAATCAGACCTTTAACTACATGAGTCAACATTTGTCTTTCCAAACTGGATAAGCTGCGATCAGAGAGATGTTCAGTAACAGTCAAAGAGAAATATCATATCAACTACTCTAAAATGTGTGTGATGCTGTAAAAAAAAGTTCTTCCTTAGGATTTTTGTCTTGTTTTCCAGTAGAAATATCTAAACATTCATAAATCAACACATTTACTTGAGAAGCAAAATGACTAAAGATATGAAGTTTTATTGTCTGAAAAGATGTACCAAAAGGAAGTGAGTTTATGCTTTAAACAACAACAAATATCAGAAAAATCATCTGAATTCAAAAGGAAAACAAGGTTTTTTTTCTGACTCCACTGGTAGATATTTTTTCTTGTAATTGTATAAATTCTTATAAATTCTTGTAAAAGTATAAATGTGCATAATTTTGATGCATTTTTCAGAAAGCACAACTTAAGCATATGCTGCCTGTTTAATTCAATTCAAATTCAGGAAGTGGACTAGAATTTCAAACACATTCGGACTCAAAGGCTATTTTAAAGCAGCAATAAATGACGCATTTCCTTTTCTAGAGTGCGTGCATTGAAAAATCCGAAAAAAAAATGTACTGTACTGTAATGTATGGCAGTAATATTTCCCATATTGATTTTTTTTTACCTGTATTTTGAATTTTGCACAGCATTGTGTTGTGTTATAGAGTTGACAGAAATGTCCATAAAATTAATGGATAATGTCCTGGCAGAAAATTACTAGTACTTTTATTATTAGTAGTGGTAGTAATTTTTAATTATTAAAAAAAAAATTATAATAATTGTATGGTGCCTGTTTAATTCAATTCAAATTCAGGAAGTGGACTAGAATTTCAAACACATTCGGACACAAAGGCTATTTTAAAGCAGCAATAAATGACGCATTTCCTTTTCTAGAGTGCGTGCATTGAAAAATCCGAAAAAAAATGTACTGTACTGTAATGTATGGCAGTAATATTTCCCATATTGATTTTTTTTTTACCTGTATTTTGAATTTTGTTGTGTTATAGAGTTTACAGAAATGTCCATAAAATTAATGGATAATGTCCTGGCAGAAAATTACTAGTACTTTTATTATTAGTAGTGGTAGTAATTTTTAATTATTAAAAAAAAAATTATAATAATTTTCAGTACAAGTATCAAAAAATTATTAAATCAACTTTTAAATAAGAAAACATTATTGATTTTAAGCCTGAAAATATATCAAAAGTCCCTAAAAAATGTCTTAAAATAATGTGAGTTTTTGCTAAAAACAAGAAGGATTAAGAAAAATAAACCTGTTTTCTCTTTGATTTGTTGATTTTTCTGACTCCATTGCCAGATATTTGTCTAAAAATTAAAGCATAAACTCACTTTATTTTGATCCATTTTTCAGAAAACAAGACTTGATATCTTCGGTCATTTTGCTTCTCCAGTAAATGCATCTTGATTTAAGAATGTTTAGATAATTGCATTGGAAAACAAGATAAAAATACAGAGAAAGAAATGGATTTTGGCAGTGTATGAACACACTGCACATGCATGTCACATATGACAGATTCTTCCGATACAAATTAAAGTCTTTCAGTTCATTTCAAATGAGATGATGAGCACTGCATGTGTTCGGTCTGTTTCTAGATCGTTCATGCTGCATCGTTCACACAGTACACTCACAGTTCACGTCTGTCTGTGTGTGTGTGTGTGTGTGTGTGTGTGTGTGAGAGATCATGTGGAAAGTCGATGCACAGTTAATTTAGTTCGTTTGGATTTCGTTTCACAAATGAGATGACCAGAACATTTTCATTGCTTTTAATTTGCAGCAGATCAATCTGTGGTAGGCTGTGGACTCTCACGATGAAAAGCCAGAACCGCAGCAAACGTTGCGTTGCTTTAAAGCTGCTGTGTGTAACCGCTGCACAACAGACCTGATCAAATAATGATTGTTTCCGAACAAGTTCCTCTGGTTGTGACACTCTTCTACATGATTTCGTCATCATTTGATAATACTTCTGTGATCTCTATTAAATACACAAATGTCTGTTTTAAACGCATAAGGTGTAATCTACTGTACAATGAGCATAATTTGCATAGAAAGCAGACTTTTTTGAGCTAAAATAATGAGTGCCTTTCTGTAAATAGATGCAGTGTTACACTGCAAATAAATGATTTCACCTCTTAGTATCGTTGTCTTTTTCCAGTAGAAATATTTAACATTTTTACACTTAATTTTTATACTTTTTTTTTTAGAAAGCAAGACAATATCTTAAGTCATTTAGCATCTCAAGTGAAGTGTCTTGATTATGAATGTTTAGATGTTGGTACTGGAAAACGTGGCAGAAATCATTTTTTCAGTGTATGTAATTGCATGCATCAGATGGCGTTTTTACACTGACCCTTCGTGTGCAAATGTGCCGCAGCTGTACAGTGTTTTCTGTGATTGGAGCAGGTCATGTGAGATCTTCACCTTCAGTCTGCATGTGAATAACACACTTGACATTGTACATGATGAAGGTTTGGAGGTGCTGTGATTATCTCACTCAACATGTGGAGCGTCTGCGTTTCATCAGCCGCTCGCTGTAAACTCGGCATGAGATTTCTCAGAGATGTCTCGCGTTAGTATGGGAATCATTTCTTCAATGCAAATGGCGTATCGTGCATTTGTGATGCTTTTAAGGACAAATCAATGCATCAAGTCGAAGAAGTCAAATGAAAAGCAAATATGTGTGTTTGTTTTGTTGTTGCAGGTGAACGAGGAGACGGTGGAGAGACTGGTGCTGCAGTATCCACACATTGTGTTCAGTACAGTGATGCAGGACTGTAAGCGAACGCTGGAACGAGCCTATCAGATGGGCTGGAGCCCCAACACATCCACGGCCTCCTAACACACACACACACACACACACACGCCTGAACGTGATGCCACCGCAGAATCATTATCGTTACTATGCCGTTTATTCCACCTTACAACATTATGCACCATGAACATCAATATTATTTGATTTGAGCACAAATATGTTCATGCACACATGATTCTGACATGCAGCGCTGCATTTCTTTGCATTTGCAACCTACTGAATTGCACTAAACGCGTCAGGAGCTTATATTTTACTCTAAAAATCGATAGAAAGAAATAAGACATTTTGTTTTGCATTTTGCACGAGGAGAAAACGTTTTTTGGCCCACATGATTTTTGCATCGTGACATTTCCCTGCAGCTCTCATTATCGTGACTCATCTAGACATTTGTCTTTTCTGATTTGTTTGTTATTCTCATTATCATCAGACGTGATTTTCATTAGATTCTCATTATTGAAACACACTCATTTTACTGCAGTACAAGGGAAATTTCTGTAATTTTGTAAAAAAAGAAGCATAAAATAAATATGGTACACATGCAACTACGATGTAGAAATACTGCTAATTAGGTAATATTGTAATTACGCTGCAAAAAAATTATTTTTTTTATCAGTATTTTTGACTTGTTCTACAGTACAAATATCTAAACATTCTTAAGTCAAGATACGTTTACTTCAAAAGCAAAATTACGTAAGATATTAAGTGAAATGTTAACCAAAAAAAAAATCTGAAAAAAATTAAAATGTATACGTTATACTTAAAACAAGAAAAAATGTCTACCACAGAAACATAATAATAAAAAATAGATGATAAATAAATGTTTCATTTTTTCTGAGCCCTTTGGCAGATATTTGTTCTGGTTTTTTGCATAAAGTCACTTAATTTTGATTTTAATGCATTTTTATATTTGATAAAAAAAAATGTTCAAGCAAATGTATCTTGATTCGGTTAATGTTTAGATATTTGTACTGAAAAACAAGACATAAATGCTGTTTTGCGATTAGGTTTTTAATTGCATTAAATCTTTTAGGATAAATGTGTATTTAAATAATATTAACAATAATGTTGCAATGCAAAAAAACATAATGTCCTAAAAATAGGCTCAATTTTCTGCATGCAAAGTATATTTACTTATTTCTTTCTAGTTATTTTGGGGTAAATTGTGCCGTCTGTCAGGTGTGTTCCTGAGCGCTTTAGTGCGATTCTCCTCTTCAGACTTCAGTTAGTCGTTTCTTTTGCATCCGAGTTCATTTAGACACGTTACACATTCATTAGAAATGTCACAGCCTCTATTTCTCTCAGCGAACACTTAGAAGTGTGAAAGGAAAAGTGTTCGTCCGGTTGAGCGTCATGTTAAAGTCCTGCTAGGCACAGGACAGCTCTGATGGTCTGTGATGTAGATGTAGACGTGAAGACGCAGGACTTGTGTTGTTGATTTCGTTTGCTCTTGTGAATCTGTAACCCTGTGGTTTGGAGTTTGTTTTGGATGTAAACCGATATGTAGGGTTGTTCTGTTTTTTTTTTTGAGGTATATCCACCATATAGATTTGACATAACCTATGAATATTTGAGGATGTATTGGCCTGGAGTGTGAGTGAGTTTGCATAGAGAGGTTAGTTAGTTCTCTCATCTACCCGTCTTCTGCTCCATAGCTTGCCTCATTCAGACGAGCAGGGTATTTTTCTATGGTGTCGTAGGAGGAAGAGTTTAGTTACAGCCTTGATCTTTTACTGTACGGGGAATTTGAGTCAATTAAAAAACACAGTTCTACTTCACCGGCTCCTGCTGTCGTTTGAGTTCAGCGAGTGAGTGTGTGTCTGTGTGTGTGAGTGTGAGTGAGTGAGTGTGTTTGTGTGTGTGTGTGTGTGAGTGTGAGTGAGTGAGTGTGTTTGTGTGTTTTAATGTTTGTGTGTTACTGTGTGTGTGTGTGTGTGTGTGTGTGTGTGTGTGTGTCTGAGAGAGTGAGTGAGTGAGTGAGTGAGTGAGTGTGTGTGTGTGTGTGTGTGTTTGTGTGTTTTAATGTTTGTGTGTTACTGTGTGTGTGTGTGTGTGTGTGTGTGAAGATCAGCAGCTCATCTGACCGTCTTCAAGCACAAACAGGATCTGGATCTGCTGAATCTCCTCAGAGCTGGAGTCTCAGTCATTCAGCATGTTTGTTTATTAAATTGTATGTCTTCAGATATTAATTTAATTGATTTAAACATTTAACCACGTTTAAATCCATCTCACAGAGCTCCAGTGATTTTCTCACAGATCCTCCCAAACTCAAAATGTGAAAAGTCTGAATTTTTTGTTTGGGTTATAATAATGTGCTTTTGTTAAAAAAAAAATATATATATATATATATATATTGTATTACCATTTTTTCCCCTGAAGAAACCATGGTGTTTCATGTAAATATCATGGAGCATGATTGTGGTAATGAACAGTAAATGGTCAGTGTTATTTTGGTATCATTAATATACTATTACAGTTTTGTTTTCAACTAGATTTGAATTAAATTTTATTTTGGTTTTTATTTTACTTTTAGTAATTTTGTTGTGTTTTTTTTGTCATTTTTATTATTTGTTGTTTGAGTTTTTTTTTAAATGTCTATATTTAGAAATATACCATTATAGTTTTAATATTTTTATTTATATATATATATTTTTTTTTTCTGTTTTAATTTTAGTAATTTTATTAATTAATTTTAATTTGAGTAATTTAATAATAATTTCATTGTTTTTGTCATTTATTACATTTTTATTCGATTTTTTAAAATTTCAGTACGGTTTGTTTTTTGAAAATATTTTAAATTGTTTTTTTTTTTTATTTATTTTATTTTAGTTTGTTTTTGTAATTTTGTGTTTTTGTTAGATTTGTTAAAACTATGTCTATATAGTTTTTTATATACTGTTATATTATTATTATTATCGTTTATATACAGTATATATATATAATGGAAATGAAAACGCAGCGATGGATCTCCGGCATCACGCACTTCTACTTGGTCTGTAACGATGACGTTCGGCAGCGGTATGGTGTTGCCTCGGCCGGCTCCGGAGCTACGATGAGCGACAAGTCTTTCTTATTGAAAAACCGGACACACTTATAAATTCTCCTCCCCCTTCACATCTGTCATCATAATTTAAATTTATGTTTTTCCTTTGTAGTTTAAATAAAACACACATCTCACATGTTTCAACAGGGCATCTTGCTTTATTAATATCTATTACGAATGTCTCAAATAAGCAAAGTTTAATAACACAAGGGCAGATCCCTTGAGCACAGCTGCCGATGCTTTGAAGTGACGCTCGAGTGATCAAGAATATTCCGATCTACAAATAAGCTTTCCTTTGATTCCTCAATCCTCATTTTCTTGCATCCTAAGACGGGTGGAGCTAAGATGCGAGGATGCTCAAATAAGAAGCACCCATACTGTATGTATATGTTTAGTTTTAGTTCATAATAACCCTGCTAATGGTACACTGAATAAGTACCACGGTATTCATGATGCCGCAGTACTGGCAGGTGTAGTTTTGTATTCCAGGTGTGTGTGTGTGTTTTTAACGGGGTGAATCAGAAGAGCTTTATGGATGTGATGGGTGTTTGACTCTCTATCCTCTCATATGAGCTTCAGTTGCTGCTGCAGAAACACTGAACTGAAGGTCAGAGCCACACAGACAGACAGCAATCGCTCTCAGATCACAGATACTGTGTATGCGAGACATTTCACGCTTCACAAGGCAGATTCTGCAGATTTCAAGGGTTAATTTCACTGCTGCTTTAACTTCCTTAGTTTCATGATGCATGTTTAAGATTAAATGCTAAAATAATCAATCTCAACATGTTCACTTTGTATATGTGTATATATATATATATATATATATACACACTGCCGTTTAAAAGTTTGGATCAGTTAGATTTGTAATGTTTTAAAGAAGTCTCTTCTGTTCATCAAGGCTGCATTTATTTGATAGAAAAATACATTTAAACAAAATTAATTTACAAATTAATTTATTTCTTATTTAATTTATATATCTTATTATTACAGTGTATTTAGGTTATTACAGTTAACTAAAATTAAAACCATTAAAAACTATTTGAATTTCATTACAACTGAACGTTAACTTTCAGCTCGTTGCCAAGCCTCCGTTTAATTTAGTTTAACTTGAAGTACTAGAATTATATAAGAAAAAAACTAAAAATGACAAAAACACAACAAAATGTAAATTACTAAAACTTTAAAATGAAAACGGAAAAGCTAAAAACTGTTTCAAAATATTAAACGTTAATGGTAACTCAATTGAACTAAAAATAAAAATGCATATTATGAAACAATATTTATACTTTATATTTTATTTCCTATTTATTTCTAAATTAAATTATTTTAAGTATTTCTGCATAATTTTTTTAACTGACTTTACAAATTTAACCTAAATTTAAATGGTGCTTATTCAAATTAAAAAGTATTTTATTGCAGTATTTTATATATAAAACATTGCATATACGCTGCATATTTTTATTTACTATTTAAACTGCATTTAATTTATTCTGATTTAAATTAAAGAAAATTAAATGATAGTGTTTTCTTTTAACTGACCGCAGTGTCTGTGTCTTATGGGTATGAATATCATATTTAATGTGTGTTTCTCCTGTCTGGTGCAGAGAAGATAAAACTACTGTAACATATTCATATTACATCAGTATCGTTCTGCTGTAGACTGTAGACACACTCACACACACACACACACACACACTCACTCACACACACACACACACACTCACACACACACACACTCACACTCACACACACACACACTCTCACTCACACACACACACTCTCACTCACACACACACACACACACACACTCACACACACAC